GTGTACAGTTCATGTTATGTTGGGCATACCCTAGGGTTAGGGCAGTCCAAATGTGCGTACTTTACTTGAATGTGTACCTAGGCAGGTCAAGCATACCCTAGGGTTAGGGCCTTGTCTGACCGTATGCCATAGGAAAGGGAGATGTAAAAGGGAAGGAACTAAGCGATTCAACGAAGTACTTGGACTAAATTAATGTGGGATTGTGAGATATATTTGGTTATGCATGCTTATGGGCTTCCACTCTGGGGCATCTCTTTGATAGTTTAGTTGCTTTAGGTGTTCCCCGAGTGCTAGAGCTATAGGCAGGTAGGATGGATGATGGGAGGGAAAGCTTGGGATAAGATAGGACTGACTCTACTAGGAGTTAGGATCAGTGTTATCGCACAACCTCATCAAGAGGTCGTACAGATTGTCGCTGATTCTACCTTCCAAGTAAGTGTCAGGAGTTAGTCCCAAGTATAGTTTCGCTTTGTCTTTCTGTTTTCAGCTTTGTATAAATCTTGGCAGCCTCCTTTTCTTACGGTAAGCGCTGCCAAAAGTTTTACAAATCTGAAAGAGTTAGTCATTTTTGGACTCGTAGAAATTATGGGAAGACACTTTTCCTACGGGAAGCGCTGCCAAAATTTTGCAGAAATTAAGGAGTTAGAATATTCTGAGTTAGGAGAAATCTGGCAATCCATCCTGTTTAGGGGATATACTGCCTGAATTTCTTACATTTTTAGATAAACATCAGAGGTTAGTTAGGAAGGTAGGATTATTTCTTGATCACTCAAGCATGGCTTGGGTACTGGCCTCTGCTGCATTGCAGGTCACCTTTATTCATATTGATTCAAGGCTTGACTATCTTCAAACTGAACCTATAGGGATCACCTTCCGTTATCCTTTGATAACAGGTCGGTTTCCGACTCAATTCTAATCCACTCTTGCTACTCAACCTAAAGGCTTTAGCCATGTGGTTTGGTTTGTTTTATTGTGTTTTTACCCGGACTTTAATTGAATGACCATTTAATAAAGAAGCTGAGTATTTATTTTGAGAGTTGCGCAAAGAGTGAGGTTTGTATGGCTAAAGCAAGGGGTGTGAGCGCAGAGAATGGTTGAAGTTGACCCCGTGTAGTGTGTGTTCTGTCGATGTGGATCTTTGATGTGATTGCAGGTATGTTTTGTGAGTTGAATCCAGACTTGATTTTGTCAATGATTATATATATACTTTTGAAGGAAGCCGCACTGTGATTGTGAGAGTGATCGTCTCCTATCTCATAACTTTTATATCATATTTTCTTGTGTCCGCACGACCCGTTGAGGCCGTGCATAGTGATTAAGTAGGTGTTGCACTAAGAGAAAAAAGGTCCCCTTTGACCTTTTGTTTCTTAGAGTTATTATGGTTGGACGTTGTAGTCCGTGGCAGCCGTCAAAATCAAACCCTTTGATATTTGACCACCACGACAGCTTGGAGTTGTCTACTCAACCTCTCTGCGCAGGGTGCAGAAGAGGGTGTGGTCTTCAACCGCACATGGCGGTTGTCTGGCGTCGAGAGATTACCCCTCAAAGCGCCTGTCAGCCGACACGTCAGCGTCGAACGCGACCCTCGAGATTATCAAGGGCCGCGAGGCTACAAGTACTACATAGTACCCCATCAACGCGAGTGCTTGCGTATGCCCGTATGGCTGGTTGATATGAGAAGGCCAACGCTCGCTCGGTACTTGTAAGGAAATCCAGCGCACGATACCTATCTGATTCTTGCTGCATAGAGTTATGGGTCGGATACAGAAGGGACTAGGAGTATTGTTGTGTCGTGGTATTGTTTGTAGTGGTTGTTTTGTGTGTGTCCATGTGTCATGCGTGATAAGTGTGAGTGTTCAGGCGTAACGCATGGTGTGTAGGGTGCGTCCTAGTCGACCGCCGCCGGGTCGCCCTTGGGACTTCAGCCCCCCAGTGCGTCGATTCGCGTGCGGGTTCGATTTTGGGCGTTCGACCGCGCGTACCCCCTATGCTACAGCGAGCGAGAAAACACCCTCGGCAGGGCCACCTCTGCAATTGCATATGAAAAGCTTTTGCATGTGGTTCAGTAGCTCGACTGGGATACGTCCACCTAAGGGATGGTGAGAGCTCCTGCAGGTGGAGGTAAGCGGTGCCTCGCGTGACCCTGTCCTGTCGTAGGGGCTCGCGAGAGGTACGGCTGCCGCACTTGGCCGGAGCAGCAAACGCTCTCCGCGACAAGTCCTGCCAAATCCTGCGTGACGCGGCCGGGAGGTTCCCCGTGCGGGACCGATGCGCTCGACAACGGGAGTACGGACGGGCCGTCCCCGTACGAGGTGACGACCCCTCTCTCTCTCTCTCTCTCTCTCTCTCTCTCTCTCTCT